AGTGGGGGAAGTTCTCAGTACCTAACACAACGACAGACCCATTTTCTGTTGGGAGTCACTCCCTGAAAGGTTTGGGTGGGTGGGAATGTTGCTAATTGCCGGGGGGAGGGTGTTGGGGGGGGGGGGGGTGTGGTTTGGAGAGAGGTAAGGAAAGGTCAGAGGTGGGGAGAGTTACATTTAAGGGCAGTGACTTGGCGAGCTATCGGAACTCGTGGAATACGATAGGAGGGCAGAAGGGGCCGAGTGGCCTGGGCGACCGTCGGACGCGATCAGGGAGGCCCTGTCTCTCTTCCCTGCACCCCCGCCAACACTGAAGACGCCCCCTCCCCTCGGCCTTACCCTTTTGGCCCCTCTCCACGTTCTCCGGTAGCAGAGTCTCCTGACGGTTGGCTAACATGAAGGCGAGAACAGAAAGGACAAGGGCATCCAGGACTCCCAGGATGGCCAGGCCGAAGGCCCAGTGGATGGTGCAGCCCCCCAGGGCATAGCTCCCAGCCTGTGGGCCGCACAGCTCCCGCACCTCCGGCATTCCCCAGCTGTCTGGGAACGTCACGCATCCCAGGGTCTGGGAACTGGCTGCAAACGAGAGACGGAGAGACGTGAGGAGTTGACACCTTGAGCGAGCCTTCCCAGTTCCCTCGCAGCGGCGGGCGCAGAAGGAGATCCCGCACGGATGCAAATCCCCGCTCCACCTCACTCCCAGGAGGCAATATCCCTCCCCCTCCAACTTCCATCTCCTTTCGGATCGTTAGGAATGCTCGGCTGAGTTCCAACACTCCCTCCCTCCACCACCGACGTAGCTGGGCTCATTAGGAATGCTCGGCTGAGCTCCAACACTCCCTCCCTCCACCACCGACGTAGCTGGGCTCATTAGGAATGCTCGGCTGAGCTCCAACACTCCCTCCCTCCACCACCGACGTAGCTGGGCTCATTAGGAATGCTCGGCTGAGCTCCAACACTCCCTCCCTCCACCACCGACGTAGCTGGGCTCATTAGGAATGCTCGGCTGAGCTCCAAC